TGCTCCCGACACTGCCTTCTTGGTGGTATGAGGTTCCCATGTGTCTCTCCTCGCTTTTCTCTTTTATATCTCAAAAGAGATTGCATTAAGACACTATCTAATCTTGTCAACCTCATCAAAGTGATAGAATTTACAGTGCATAAAGAGATCACGTATAATCTCAGCATAGTGATAAGAGTTTACATGACATAAGGAAATCACATCAGATTACACAATCATACAACACTGGGAATCATGACCTAGCCAAGTTGCTACACACATTTTTTGGGGGACACAATTCAATCCATGACATAGGGTGAACTTGCTGTCTAACATTTCAGAAATTCTTAAATAGTAAGAGTAGCTCATGTGCCAAAGGAAAATAAGGCATCCCAACTCATTCCTGTTCCCCAATGGCCCACTTATTTTTATTCTCTTTCTCTCTATCTCTGTCTCTCTCTTTTCTCTTTAGTTTTTAATGAGAGAAAGTAATGAATGTTTTAAAGAGCTGTGACTCTTTAGGTTAATATACTTCCTCCTCCATTTGCAAAGTTAAATAATTAAAATAGCTCCGCATGGTAAACATCACTTGTAACTTCCCTTTTTACAGACATTGACAGGTAATTTATTGCTTATTCCAGGTACCCTAAATTTTCTGTTGAAGCTTTAGCTGATAAAGCAATATGTACAGATAAAACAGGAAGAGAAACAAAACAGGAAGAGAAACATTCTCTCTTTCTCCCCCAGTTTAAAAATAAAAAAACTACACAATCAAAACTGGCTGGGTATAGCTTTAAAACAAAGCTTATTCTTACCATTCTGACATTTTTGGTTCCTTAATCAAATATATGTTCCTCCTGTAGATATAACTGTAAGATAAGTCTGATCCACTGTTGGAATTTTTCAGTTCTGTTTATGACCTCATGGTGCTTTATGCAGTGCTCTGGAAACCTCACTGCTGGAATTTACAGGCCTGTGGTCTTGATGCAGTGTTTTGCATTAATATGAGTCCATTTTCAGTATAAAATAATTCCCTGGTAACCCATACAGAGAATAGTTTCTGCTTAAATGAATCAGGAAATGGTGAGTATTTAATAATAAGGTTAAAGTAGTTGAATATTTGAGAAGTGAGAGTTAATTAAACTGACTTGACAGAAGACCATGTTCCTCTTCAAAGCAGCTACTGTCTCCAAATCCAATAAAAGTGAAGGTGCGTCACTACTCACTGTAATATTCTGTAGAGATTTTATTGATTCAGAACTATTCTTTTTCTTAGCATTGTCTAGAGTTTTGTGTTGTATATATGCAATACTTGTGTTAATATAACACTCATACATGAGGAAATATACAGCTTAATTAAAACTTGGAAAATGGGACATTGAAATTATTATCTTTCAGAAATAGTTCTACCATTGTGGCCTGTGTGTATGAGCTGTAAGGTCACCCTGAGGAAGTACTCTTTTATAAGCTCAGTCAAGGTTATTAAAGCCAGAAGAAAATTAATATTCAATGCACCTACTGTTTTATTTCTCACTTGATTTAACTTAAAAGTGCTTTGGGACCTTAGCCTGCTTCAGTACTGTTCAGTAATTATTAATTGATGAATTAGGATTTGATGTCAACTGTTCTGTATTAACCTATTTATTTTGTTTTTCATATCTTGCTTTTCAAGTTGTGTATATCATATAATTGCAACAAGACACCAATTTTGTTTTATAAGGCATTTTTTCATTAATGAGGTAAAAATATAATGTATGGTTTACTATGTATAGTCATGAGGGAACCAAGGCCAAGTCCAGAAACTCATCTAACCATGGACTAATGTCCAGCATCCATGGTAGGTATTGATAGTGTTTAATTTTTAATTTGTGTTATTGGCGTGCCAGATGGTATACATCTATGCACACTAGGTAAGAACTCTTAAGTTTCCTTTCAGGACTTAACAGACCCATTGTGTTTATAGTGCATGTGTTTGTAATATTTTCATACATTTTAATGTGCGATCACATTGTTTATGTTTCCTTTGATCATTAGAACAACACTGAGAAATAAACAAATATTCTCTCTTAGATAAACTGGGGTTCAGCAAGAGCAAGTGTTACACTTGGGCAAAAATTCAGGTCTCTGGACTCCTGGTTAATGCTGTCTGGTACTCTACAGAGAGCAGTAACAGCATAATAGTCCGTGATCCAAAACCCACTGCCGTGGAGTTGATTCCAACTCATCGCGACCCCATAGAGTTCCCAAGGCTGTAAATCTGTACGGAAGCAGGCTGCTGCATCTTTCTCCCTCAGAGCCGCTGGTGATTCGAATCGCTAACCTTTTGGTTAGCAGTCAGTCACTTTAACCATTGCACCACCAGGGCTCCTTAATTTTTCATGATAGTAGATGTCAAAACACTTTAATTCTGATAATTCTTTATATTTGCATAGCACTGACAATTTTTGGAGTACTTTCTAATAGATTATTTTAAAGAATAAAGAAAATTAGAAAAGCAAAATTATTACTATCCTTAACTACTGTTTCCTTTATTAGACTCATTCATTCAGTAGATACAAAGTACCTTTATATGCTAGGTACTGAGTTGGGAGCTAAAGTACAAAAATGATCCCTGCCCTCAAGGAGATCAGGCCATGGAAGACAGTGTTGGCTGACTCAACAGATGTGGACAAGTTTGCTGAGTACACTGGAAGAAGGCTTTTGTTTTTCCTGTTAAGGGGTTAAAGGTGTGACTGGAACTGTCCTTTTTTCAACCCTGAATGCAGACATAATGCCTACATTTAAAGCAAGCAGCTTTGAAGCAGCAAGTCAGCACACTTAATAGAACAAAAAAAAATAGAGCCTTGGTCTTTGATGACCCTTGTGCCTGTACACCAACCATAGACTGCCTACCTCTGGACTTGTTGTTGTGTTGGGGAAAGAATTAATGCCTTATTTGTTTGTCACTTATAAATCAGATTTTCAGTTACTTGTAGCCAAATTACATTCATATTCTCTCTCTCAACTTTTTACTTTCTTTTTTTTTTTTTTTTTAATTGTACTTCAGGTGAAGGTTTACAGAACAAATAGTTTCTCATGAAACAGTAGTACAGATATTGTTTTATGACATTGGTTAACAACCCCACGACATGTCAACCCTCTCCCTTCTCGACCTTTTTTTTTTTTTTTTTTGGTGAAAATATACATAGCCAAAGATACACCATTTCAAAAATTTCTACTTGCACAGTTCAGTGACATCGACTACACTCTTCCAATTGTGCTGCTATTCTCACTTTAGATGAAGGTTTACAGGACAAAATAGTTCCTCATTAAACAGTTAGTACACATGTTGCCCTATGACAATGGTTAACAACCTCACAACACATCAACACTATCCTTACTCAACCTTAGGTTCCCTATCACCAGCTTTCCTGTCCCCTTCTGCCTTCTAGTCCTTGTCCCTGGACTGCTGTGCTTCATTAGTCCCATTTGGTTTTATGGGTCTGTCCACTCCCCGGCTGAACGGTGAACCTCGGAAGTGACTTCACCACTGAGCTAAAAAGGTGTCTGGGGGCCATACTCTCGGGGTTTCTCCAGTCTCCTTTAGGCCAGTAAAACTGGTCTTCTTCTTGTGAGTTAGAATTTTGTTCTACATCCTTCTCCAGCTCTGTCCAGAACCCTCTGTTGTGATCCTGGTCAGAGCAGTCAGTGGTGGTAGCTGGGCACCATCTAGGTGTACTGGACTTAGTCTGGTGGAGGCCTTGGTAGCTGTGGTCCATTAGTCCTTCAGACTAATCTTTCCCTTGTATCCTGTTCTCTTCATACTCCCTTCCTCCCAAAGGGATGAGACCAGTGGAGTATCTTAGATGGCTGCTCACAGGCTTTTAAGACCCCGGACACTACTCACCAAGGTAGAATGTAGAACATTGTTTTTATAAACTGTGTTATGCCAATTGAGCTAGATGTTTCCTGAGACCATGGTTCAACTTTTTACTTTCTTATGATGCAAATTTAGTATACACAAAAGTGAACAATGGTATAATGAATCCCCAACATCTAGCTACAGTAGTCATCAATATTTTGCCAAACTTTGTACATTCTTGTACTTTCTTCCTTTGTAATTAGAACTCAATGTAAGGAATTTCTATAATAGAAGTATGTTAAAATACTATGGAAGCACAGGAAAGAGAGTGAGTAACTCGGCCTGAGGTGGAACTGCTTTCTATCAGGAGATGCTTCACAGAGGAGGTGGGACGTCAGCTGAGTCTTTAAGGGCAAGCAGAGAGTCAGAATTGACCCTGTGGTACCTACCAACAACAACAACAGAGAATGGAAAGAAAGAGCATTCCTAGCAGAAAGAATAACATGTATAAAGAACCATTTAAAAGCGTGGTATATGCAAAGAATGGAAAATAGAGTACTGTGGCTGGAGTTTATCAGGGACAAGTGTCAGTAGATGAGTCTAAAAAGATGGTTCAGTGCCAAGTCATGAAGAGACATATATATCATACTGAGAAATTTGAGGTATGTGATTAGCTTTGAGTTTTAGAAAGCTAAGCTTGTGGTTTTGGAATGGGGAGTAGAGAGGGAAAACAGTAAACTATGCCAATGGTCCAAATGATAGAAGAGTATTTGGTGATAACTGTGGTGGCTTGGGCAGGGGAGATGACTTTAAGGAATATTTGAGAGGAAGAATCAACATAGTTTGGTGCCTGTCTAGGATGTATGCAGGGGATTCAGTCACAGAATGACTTCACTAGATATGGCGATGCTATTATTAGAGAATTAATATAGCAGAAGACAGATAAGGGGTAAGGGTAGATGATGAGCTTGGTCTTTTAAGTTTGAAGTGTTGCTAGGACAGGTAGGTAGAGGTATCCAGTATGCCAAGTGCAAATGCAGAGCTAGACCATAGGAAAGTCTCACACTAGAGAGTCCCATAACTTGTCTTTCTTGCCAGATATGTCATATTCGCTCATATATATATAAATATATAATCTGCTAGTCTTTTATGAATAATCCTTAACGTTTGTACATTGCAGGCATTAGTCCCAATTTATACTTGAAGTTATAATCACAAGAAATATACAACTCTCTTGTTGAAAAGTAAATGCATACCAAATGGAAACTGTTTACTGTTTTAGATCAGATGGATAATTCCACATTCCCTAAGCCAGTGGATTTTTCATAAGATGGAGTATTGAAGAAATATAGGTGACATTGACTATAATAATCTAAATGATTATCTACAGCACACTTGAGCACAACATGATTGTCAGTGTCATATTGGTGGGCAGCCAGTTTCCTTTATGCCTGATGTTATTTGATTTAGCAAGCTTTTAACAGTATCTGTCCCTCTTTTAAAGAAAGTTATTTTACAGTGTTTTTTATGTGTGAGGAGATTTCGTAATCGAAGACTAAGGTTTGTGCATTCAAATATGTCAATTTCCTTGGATACAATAGCTCAAGAGGATTTTTTAACCTTTCATTCATGAATGTTGGCTCATATCAGTAGAGGTGTTTTAAAATGACAGGGATTATGTGAGAGTGAGAATTACTCATACACTTCTGACGTAGCATCAATTTTATGTTGAAAATGAACATTCAGCTTTGTATCTCACTTTTTTGCTGTCTGCAGACCTGAAAGCAGGGAATTGTAATTTACAAAGTCAAGGACAAGAAGACATACAACCCCATGCAAATGGCTTTACGCTCCAAAATGTTCCTGTGCCTGTTAGCATATATCTATATTTTCTAATCACCTTTCTCTTTGGTATAGAAGAGGTGCCTTGGGTTGTTAGTATCTTATATAGCCATGTAGTTAAGAGTGTAAAATAAAAATGATACAGATAACCATTTAGAGATGCTTCAGTTCGTGATGGCTCACTTATTTGTGCTGCTTATGCTTCTGACTTAACCCTCTTCTGACTGATTCTGCAGTCTTCTGGCTAAGATGCTAGGGTAAATGTTCTCTGTCTTTATTGCAAGCAATAGATTTTATCTCATTAAGTGGTTAAGGGATGACAGTATTTTTTTTTTTAACCTTATTCTTGGTTAGATGATCTTCATCTTCACTGTTCATATGGGAATACATCATAGGCCAATTCTTCTCCTGCACTATGAGTAGTCTATTTAAGCTTCAGGACTGATAGTCTTTAACTATACTGCATTCAGAATGCAGAATGCTTACAGTTGATATTCTCTGCGAATTGAACATTAAACTTACTATATTTTTATTTTCCTCTGCTGACTTCAGGTAAACTAATGTTCTAATATTAAAGATTATTTTGTAAGATTGACTAGTCCTTGACGTAACTGAAAAAGGGAGTCTATGTTACCTTATTCCAATTTCAGTAACTATTATGCAATGTAGAGAAATAATATAATTTGAGGATTTTATGTAACATTCTTCATTAAGTGGTAATTAAGTGGGGATACATTCTTCAAGCCATGTGAGTGCAGGAGATTGACTGAAAAATGAAAATACCTCTCTAATATCTCTCTGATGAAAGTATAGGGTAGTGTCTGGAAATTGCAGCTGTGCCATATAGTTTCAGAGAAAACTGAAAGTCTTCAGGTATTTACTAATTGTGGTCTATAAGCCTATTTATAAGGATGGCTATATCCTCTTGTTCACACTTATGAGGACATATTTGCCGTTTACTCTCTTTCCAGCCTTGCCATATGTGACTCCTTAGCCTCCTCTGAATGTGCTCATTTCTATTTTATTCACTCAAATATTTTTCTTATCTTCAACAATCTGTAAACAGTTACTCCTTAGATCTGTACATCAAGACTTTTTTCCGAAGGAACTTTACTGAAATCTATCTAGTTTCTTCTCCATATATATAAATTATACATTGCTTTGTCATTAGCTTACTTAGTTTCATTTTTGTTCCATTTAACAAATATCTCCTGAGTACTTATTATGATGATGTATGAGCTTGATGAGGTAGGGAGGTATGCTCTGGACAGGCTTCTAAGCAAGAGTAGGTGACCCTGGACTTGAGTCTTGAAGAACGAGTAGGAGTTTGCCAGGCATGGTGTGGGGCGTAAGGTTATAAGCAAAGAGAACAGCATGAGAATACAGGGGATTGACAAGTAATTCAGTGTGGCTATGGTGTGATGAAGTGGAAGGTATAGAATGAAAGAAAATGAATGTAAAAAGAAAGGCAGAAGCCAGGTAATTGAGGACTTTATCTGTCATACTGAAGAACTTGTACTTTATGTTGTGGGTGATAGGTAGCCATTCAAGGGTTTGATGATGATAGTGTATATCTAAATGTGTCTAAAATATGGCAAGATTTCCATTTTAGAGCGATCATTTTGGCAACAGTGTGATGAATGAGTTTGAAGTGAACTAAGAGTAGAGGCGGGCAGAGCAATTAGATCATTGATTTGGTTATACTGAGAGATAATGAGGGCCTGAGTTTGGATACTATTAGTAGGGATGGTGTTGAGGATGTAGATTTGGAAAGTGTTTAAAATGGAAATCAATAAGATTTAAAGATTGAATGGTGAAATGTGAGATATTGCCACATTTTTGCCTTGAGTGGCTAAGTGGCTATGGTGCCGCTGTGACAGGAAATTTAAAGAAAGAACAGATTTTAGGAAAAAATGAACAGCTCAGTTTTGAACTATTCAAAACTGAGTTTTTGCCTGAGGTAAATTCAGGTAAAAACATCCAGCAGACAACTGGATACAGGAGTCTGAGGTTCAGATGAAAGGTCATGATTAGAGGTGTTCATTTGCAGGTCCTCCAGTCCTGGTGGGAGCATAGGGAAAGTGGGCAGAGTATAAAGTGGACAAAAAACCAAGCCCTGAAGAGAAAAGGTAAAAGTGGTAGATTTTATTATTTCCATTTTGTATTTCAAGAACCTGAGGGTAAAAAAGGTTAAGTGACTTCATCATCTTTTTCTACAGGTCTTGATAACTTCATAATTCAATTTCTAAACCACTCAGATGATCTTTTATGTGTCTAGACCAAAACACTATTTTAAACTCCACTATTCTGGTTCCATTGTGAGAATTAATCTGATCCAAAGTCACTGATTTATACTAAGTTATGGATTGTCAGTCTTAATGTGGATTAGCATGGTGGTTGAACACTTCTCTGTTTCTGAGTGCAATGAGGCCTTAGTTAATTCTTTTCATGTCTTTGGGCCCCTATTTCTTCATTTTTCTCTTAGCAGTTTGCATTAGGTGATTGCTAAATTACTCAAAGTTCTAAAATCCTGTAAGTCCACGCGTTTTTAAAAACTCAACAACAAAGCTTACTTGGAATCCACTAACAGGTTTTAGAGATCTACAGGTATATGGCTAGGTTTCATGACTTATCTAAAATTATATGCAATATATTGTATATGTCTGTGCATTTTTGGGGGGATGAGATTCATAGCTTTCATCAGATTCTCATAGTTGTATACCTTACCACTCACACTTCACCCAAAGTTTAAGAACTATAGCTCTGGAAATATTTTTGCTTAATATAATGAACTACAATGCTTCATGCAATCCATGAGTAATTAAGTCATCTTTAACAAAGGTGTTGCTATTCTTTGAAAAGAATTTTTGAGTTGAGGAACAAAATTATTTCTATTAAACATTGTTAACTTTTGGACAATTAGTAATGTTTTCCATTGTACTAGCCAACTAAACCACCATTTTATCACTTAAAAACAAGTTCACTAAATGGAATAAGTAAAAGTTTGACTCTGTCTTATGGTTAATTAAAGAATGCTTAGTTTTAAAGTGTGATTGAAATGCCCTTCACTAATAGATATTCCTCACTTTGCATCTTTCTGTAGGAAACAATATCTGAGGTCTATTCATAAGGAAAGAAAAGGAAGCAATGACATAATGCCTAGAATTGGAGCCAGTTAAACTGGGTTTGTACTTTTCCTTTCCATAATGTAATACATTTATTCTAGTCTTGCATTTCTTTTTATCAATCTCCTGCATTATTCCAGCAGCTAATCTTATCATTTTGAAACTTGCCATACTACTGTGGGAGACAAAGATGAGTAAGACATGCCCTTTTAAAAGTATTTGCTACATCTTTGGGTATGAAAGACAAAATCATAAAAAGCTAGATAATATTCTCGTTTTAAAACAAGAAGCTTTGATAGGTTCCTGAAATTGCTCAAGGTCAAAAATCTTTAGATAGTCAAACTCCTATCTGTTTGGTTCTAAAACCCATTTACCTTCCATTATGTCACAATGTCTACCCCCTCTTTTTTTTTTAGATTTAGTTGTGCAACTGCTGATCACCAAAGTTTAGGACGGGGACTACATGTATTTAATTTAAGGAAACTTTCAGAAGAAGTAAAAAGAGGGGAAAACATTCTCCACTTTCCTAAAATTTAGGAGGCACCTATTACTTGGACATGCGTAGGGTAGCCAGGAATTGGAGTTGACTCAACAGCGACTTAGTACTACTATTATGTGCCACACACTATTGGAAGGTCTTTATATGAGCTAGCTCTTCTAATTCACAGTAACCGTGTCATATAGGTGCTATCATCCCTGTTTTAAACATAAGGAGCTGAGGCTCAAGAGAAATAAGTAAATTGCACAAGGTCACATGTTGTTGTCGTTCACTTCTGACTCATAGTAACCCTATAAAAACAGAACAAAACACTGCCCAGTCCTGCGCCATCCTCACAGTGGTTGCTATGTTTGATTGAGCCCAGTGTTACAGCCACTTTATCATTCCATCTCACTGAGGGTCTTCCTCTCTTTCACAGACCCTCTACTTTATCAAGCATTATGTCCTTCCCAGGGACTGGTCCCTCCTGATAACATGTCCAAAGTATGTCAGAAGAAGTCTTGCCATCTTCACTTGTAAGGAGTACTCTGGCTATACTTCTTCCAAGAGAGAATTGTTCGTTCTTCTGGCATTCCATGGTATATTAAATATTCTCGGCCAACACCATAATTCAAATGAATCAATTCTTCTTCAGTCTTCCTTATTCATTGTCCAGCTTTAACATGCGTATGAGGCGATTGAAAATACAAAGGCTTGGGTCAGGTGCACCTTAGTCCTCAAAGTGACATCTTTGCTTTTTACCACTTTAAAGAGGTCTTTTCCAGCCAATTTGCCTGATGTGATATATCGTTCGATTTCTTGACTGCTGCTTCCGTGGACGTTGATTGTGGATCCAAGTAAAATGAAATCCTTGGCAACTTCAGTGTTTTCTCCGTTTATCATGATGTTGCTTATTGGTTCAGTTGTGAGGATTTTTGGTTTCTTTATGTTAAGATGTAATCCACACTGAAGACTTTGATCTTCATCAGTAAATGCTTCAAGTCCTCTGCATTTTCAGCAAGCAAAGTTGTGTCATCTGCGTATCACAGGTTCTTAATGAATTCTTCCTCCAATTCTGAGACCACATTCTTCTTCATATAGCTCAGCTTTTCTGATTATTTGCTCAGCATACAGACTGAATAAGTATGGTGAAAGGATACAACCCTGATGCACACCTTTCCTGATTTTAAAACACTCAGTATCCCCTTAATCTATTCGAACGACTGCCTCTTGGTTTATATACAGGTTCCTGATGAGCAGAGTTAAATGTTCTGTAATTCCCATTCTTTGCAATGTTTTCCATAATTTGTTATGATCCACACAGTGGAATGCCTTTGCATAGTCAATAAAACACAAATAAACATCTTTCTGGTATTCTCTGCTTTCAGTCAATATCCATCTGACATCAGCAAGGATATTCCTCATTCCACGTCATCTTCTGAATCTGGCTTGAATTTCTGGCAGTTCCCTGTTGATGTACTACTGCAGCCGCTTTTGAATGATTTTCAGCAAAATTTTACTTGCATGTGATATTAATGATATTGTTTGATAATTTCCACATTCTGTTGGATCATCTTTCTTTGGAATAGGCACATATATGGATCTCCTTCCATCAGTTGGCCAGGTAGCTGTCCTCCAAATTTCTTGGCATAGACAAGTGAGCACTTCCATTGTTGCATCCGTTTGCTGAAACATTTTAATTGGTATTCTCTCAATTCCCGGAGCTTTGTTTTTCCCAGTACCTTGAGTACAGCTTGGACTTCTTCCTTCAGCACCATCAGTTCTTGATAATACGCTACTCCCGAAATGGTTGAATGTCAACCAGTTGTTTTTGGTACAGTTACTCTGTCTGTTCCTTACATCTTCTTTTGATGCTTTCTGCGTCATTCAATTTTTTGCCCATAGAATCCTTCACTACGGCAACTCGAGGCTTGAATTTTTTCTTCAGTTTTTTCTGGTTTAGAAATGCTAAGCATATTCTTCCCTTTTGGTTTCCTAACTCCAAGTCTTCACACATTTCATTATAATACTTTGTCTTCTTGAGCTGCCCTTTGAAATCTTCTGTTCAGCTCTTTAACTTCATCATTTATTCCATTCTTTTTAGCTATTGTACATTCAAGAGCAAGTTTCAGAGTCTCTTCTGACATCCATTTTGGTTATTTCTTTCTTTCCTGTCTTTTTAATGACCTTTTGCTTTCTTCATGTATGATATCCTTGATGTCATCCCACAACTCATCAGATTTTCGGTCATTGGCGTTCGGTGCGTCAAATCTATTTTTGAGATTATCTCTAAATTCAAGTCGGATATACTCAAGGTTGTACTTTGTTTTAATTTTCTTCAGCTTCAACTTGAACTTGCATATGAGCAATTGATGGTCTGTTCCGCAGTTGGCCCCTGGTCTTGTTCTCACTGATGACACTGAGTTTCTCTACAGTCTCTTTCCACAAATATAGTTGATTTGATTCCTGTGTATTCCATCAAGCAACATCTATGTGTATAGTTGCCATTTATGTTGTTGAAAAAAGGTTATTTCCAATAAATAAGTCATTGGTCTTGAAAAATTCTATCATGCAGTCTCCCATGTTGTTTCTGTCACCAAGGCCATATTTTCCAACTACTGATCCTTCTTCTTTGTTTCCATCTTTTGTATTCCAATCACCAGTAATTATCAGTACATCCTGATTGTGTGTTTGATCAATTTCAGACTGCAGAAGTTGGTAAAAATCTTCAGTTTCTTTATCTTTGGCATTAGTGGTTGGTACATAAATTTGAGTAATAGTTGTATTAACTGGTCTTTCTTTTCGGCGGGTGGATATTATCCTATCACTGACAGTGTTGTATTTCAGAATAGATCTTAAAATGTTCTTTTTGACAATGAATGTAACGCCATTTCTCTTTAATTTGTCATGCCTGACATAGTAGACCATATGATTGTCCAACTGAAAATGGCCAATACCAGTCCATTTCAGCTCACTAATGCCTAGGGTATTGATCTTCAAGCATTTTATTTCATTTTTTACAACTTCCAATTTTTCTTGATTCATACTTCATACATTCCACGTTCCAATTATTAATGGATGTTTGCAGCTATTTCTTCTCATTTTGAGTTATGCCACATCAGCAAATGAAGGTCCCAACATCTTGACTCAGTCCACATCCTTAAGGTCGACTCTACTCTGAGGTGGCAGCTTTTCCTCAGTTGTCTTTGGAGTGCCTTCCAACCTGAGGAACTCATCCTCTGGCACTATATCCAACAATGTTCCGCTGCTATCCCATATGCAAGATCACATAGCCAGTAACTAACAAAAGCAGCATTGAAACACTTTATCACAAAGGGTTAGGTAGAATTTATATCATGACTTAGAATTGAATATCACACAAACCAAACAAATATCTGGACAGCTTGGTCTAATCTTTTGCTATAAGTGATTTGTGTACATCCTTAATTCAACTATTAGCAGTTAAGTAATCTACACCAAAATAATATTTACCTCCTAATAAGGTTTTCACTGTAACCAGTTTGAGAAGGTAATTGTTTAAGCTTCATGATCCTGTGATGAAGAGAGATTGTAAATTCATAGACTAGTCAAACAGCATCATTTGATAGAAGGAACTTTGAAGTGGGAGTTACATCTAACTTTCCAACTTTCCTAGAGGCTTTTTGTGTGATCTACAAGTCTCCTAACGTGCTTTCAGGCTCATTTTGTGAGATGAGAAGGTTGAGTAAATGATTTCCTTACTCTCTTAAAACAATAACATTGTCAGTCAATTTTTTTATATGCTCAAATGTAAATATGTAAATATTAAAAAACTTCTAGAGATGAGAAGTCTTTAGAGATCACCTAAGTGAATTCTTCTATGTGACAGATATAGAAGCTGAGATCTTCACATTTGTAAATCACTTTAAATATTTCTAATCTCTTTCAGATACATTTATCTCATATGAGCCTCACCACAATCTTGTGGGTTAAATATTAAATATTAAATATTAAATCAACATTGTACAGATGAGCACATTGAATCAGTCCAAGGTCACAGGGCTGGGCCTCCACTCAGTTATTACTCTTAACCCAAAGTTTACTATGTTTTCTTAAATTAATGGGAGAAGTTACATCCTTGTGATGAAGTCTAATTGTGTGAAAAAGTCAGAATTCAGTGATTTATGAAATAAATCTAAGCAGGAGAAGCAAACATTTCCCAGTGTGAATGTGCCCATATACCAACTGCAGTCGAGTGGATTCTGACTCATACATAGCGACCCTGTAGGACAGAGTAGAACTGCCCCATAGGATTTCCAAGGAGTGACTAGTGGATTTGAACTGCCGACCTTTTGGTTAGCAGCTGAGATTTTAACCGCTTCGCCATCAGGGCTCCAGTGTGAAAGTGGTACCCCCCAAAAAACAAACCAGTTGCTATCGAATCGATTCTGACTCATAGCGACCCTATACGACAGAATGGAACTTCACCCACAGGGGTTTCCAAGGCTGTAATCTTTGCTGAAGCAGACCGCCACATCTTTTCCCCTGGAGCAGCTGGTGAGCTCTAGCCGATGACCTGTTGGTTGATTGCTTAACCACTGC